TTTTGATAGATATGGTTTTCAAAATCACTGTTTTTTTAGGGTATTAAGGATTCCATTCAAGTTGGGCATAGTAATGCAGCAAACCTGATGAGAGCGGAATTTCTATTAATCACCGAATTCGTATTTATTATATAGTTGTCATCGTGACGACAGCTGAGCATGCGTGCGAAATAACATTGGATATCTGAGAAAGTGCGTCATATACCAAACTCTAGCTGACTCATTTATTTTGAAAAAAATCTAATAATTATTGACATCCGTCCACGCAATAATGAATTTAACAATTCAAAATAGCTTAAAATTATTGGCAATTAAATTATGAGAATTGGTGGTGTTTGTATGCTAAATTCGAGTCTCGGCTGTAGAGAGATTCCCATACAAGTTTACGTGAAAGGACGGCACGGTATTTGTTTACATACGACAATGATACTACTCAATTGGAACACGTGATATGCCTAAACGCTGTCCCAGTTTATGCAATGACAAACTTATAATTGCAAAATTTCGGCGAGTTAAGTAGCTTTAAAAATGTATGCTCAAAACAAGTAGATTTTCGAGATCAGATCTTGACGTCATAATGTCAAAATATGTCGGTTTTTGAGGTTTTTTAGACTACACATTTTAAGTTTTCCCCGAACATTTTAAAGCTAAACTGAATGTTAATGAACTTTTATGATTTTTTCTAGTGAACTCGTCCATAATTTCACTAGAAAGTTAAAAATTACCCGCAAAAAAAAAAAAAAAAAAAAAAAAATATGGCCGGGAAGACACAACAGTGACGTGTGCCATTCAAGGAAATGACGTCACTGAAACGTACTCTCTTTTAACACATTCGCGGGATTTTAATATCGAAGCGAGCATCCCATATCTCCCTTCAGGTAACAGCAGAGAATGAAGTCACGTAAATTATGTACGTGTGCCAAGTTAAACGACCTACTAGCAAAACGTTCTATTAAATGCAGTAAATATAGTCACCGGTCTTCAAAACCAATGATTAAAAAAAATCACTAAAATGACGTAGAATAAAATGTCATTACCCCGTGCATATTATAAATAAATAAAAGACGACGAAAAACGTTCTAGTATAAAATATATTGTACATAGTAACTCGTGAAATGTCCTTTACGCTTTCCTCTGAATCTACGGCGTGCCTCTAGAGGGGCGATATGAACACGGGCAAATGGCAATGTAATATACACTGTGGCGAGGAAATGCACATTATGCCATGCAGCGAGCGGCGTGAATTGACATCTCAGTCTTCAGAACAAATATTACACAATTTATACGTCTATTTTTACTAGTTCAAATGGCTATACAATGAAAGCGTTTTAGGAAACAATTCAACGAAGCCATGCACGTATTTTTATCACGTCGGGTATATTCTCAACGGGATGAGGGAATTAGTATTTCCTCTAATGCTGCCTATCATACAACGTTAGCCGAACAAGTCTATATCGTTACTCAAAGGTCACCGGGCAGATACCTCTGTGGCAAATTCTCCGCTGTCAGATATACAAGGAGAAAAGGTATTCACAAGAATTAGGTCGTTTTAAAAGGATTGTTCGGAACTGAATTTAAACCGTATTTTAGTTTCACATATATTCCGACTAAACCAATATATATATAGAAATGCATAGAAAATTATATTGAAGGGTATTTCGGCAGTACGATTTACGGATGCACCTGAAGGGGCCTGCATATCGCGACTCATTACAATAGCTTACACATGAATGCGACATGCTATTCTAAAATACCGTATCTGAGTTGCATTGTTAGGTCTCTCTACAAGGCTTCAAAGCCACGGCCTTTGGCGTGGAACAGTTGCGAGCGTTATCATATGTCGACCAAGCGTTGTGTTCATATACAGCTATATATTTCGCTTTGTGGTGTGTGGTCTAAGTTGTCCGATTATAAGTTACGCAGACTAGTAGGCGATGCAAAACAATTGTATGTACTCTGGTTCTGTTCTTTTTGTTTCGTGCAATGTTTTCACTGCTCCGTAACCGTGATCGAATGTCACTTCTGCTTGATCATTGCAAAATGAGTTAATTGCATGTTCTTCTGTTCTTTATCCCCTCTCTCTAGAGTCCCGGTTAAAATGTAACCAGCGAGGAAATCTTGCTTCGTAACATGTGACGTCAGTAGAAGCTCAAAATCCGGCAGTTTGCTGTCTTTGAAATGCCCCGTGATGTACATCATTCCGTTGCCGTCGTCGTAAATTTTTCCCTTAGTCGACCGCTTCTTCCCAGCGCACACCTCTACGATTTTACACCTGGAGCGATTCCACCAACGTGTTTTCAGGGTCCAGTACACGTGCATGGCGGCTGCCGCCCATCCTTCGTACGGATACAGCAATATTTTGGTTGGGCATCCAATTTTCATGATTAATTTGCGACAGCAGCTGCCGATATGGTCGTAGTAGTACATGAGTACCATATCAAGGTGAGACGCACAGTCTGAAGAATAAATGGTTCGTTGTTAAACGGTGATCACAGCCCAGTGCCAGAATAAGACACAGACACGATGGATTACGTAATACACATAGAGTTGACCTGCAAATCGAGGAATAAACTATGAAGCATCATGACAAACCGGCCTGATAATGACAACAAACCAGGTGTATTATTATTGATAAGTGAGTCAATTAACTCTAACTGAAAGCTCCTAAAAAGCTGTATTCGACTTACGGATGTGTGAATACACCTTTCCCCTTCCCCGATTTCCTTACTGTAAACGTCTGAGAAATAGATCATTCGTCATTACCGGTTGTTACGCAATACATAACGGCTAAATGTGCTGGTATATCTATCTTCCGGTGAATTTGCGAGGAAATGTAGAAATAAAAACACCGAAGATCACGTACGTGCTCAGGAGTGGCGACGTTCCCTCGTTAGCGATGGCAGCTGCCTGTGTGTGTGTGTAGACCAGCGCATGTACGACCAGCAGCAAGTCGCATCGACAGTCTATCGCTGTCCGTTCTCGTGCCACAGCGTTACTTCAACTTAGCCACGAACCCTTGTGGGGACGCTCATTTAGGTGCCTCCCATTCGGCTCGGCGGTTGTTCCACAAATGTCTCGCGTACCCTCAGCAACCTTATATATTACAACCATAACACATTTTATAATGTGCAGCGCGTAGTCGTTAAGAATAAGCAGCACTGGCCTTCAATCAAGCGTAACATCGCTGCCAGAGCATGTCGCACAGACATTGAAAACGTATCACGAGCTCTGATTGGCAGAAAACCGCAAACGATGACGTAATGCGTCGAAAAGACGGGGTTATATTCGAAGTCCACCTTTTAGAGCGCTGTTCCAAACAAGATAAATTCAACAGACAACACAACGTCGGGAAAACTCGGGCCTGACTAATATAGCTCTGTGACACTGCACAGCTCAGTCGCGCATACTAGGTGGCGTTACCATGACAGCGCCGTACAAGGATTGGCTTGGGGAATCCTCGGAGATGTGTTGTCGGTATAGTACGATTAACACTCAGAGGGGATTCGGGAATTGAAGAATACACGTCTGATCAGGTGTGTTGTCAAATTCATTCTCGGCCATTCCTATTCATGATCATCGTCAGTGTAAAGTGATTGGCTTTTGTCATATTTCCCCGATATCGTGTGTCTCCATATCGCGCCATGTTTTAATTACATCCTTCAATAAAATGTGGACAATTCTTACATTCAAAAAATGTTCATTCATTAATTGTCAATCAAATAAACAGCGTCAATGATGTAATGCCACGAAGGGAAATTAATTTCTTCATGTTTCCCGCCCAAACCTGCTCACAAGCATTAAAATATCAACAAATCCCTGTTTTTTTTTTAAAGTTATACACGGTTTATACGCGGTGGTCAATATTAAACGTATTCCATACCTCATACTATACTTTCAGTTTGTTGCGACTTTGGCGTACATATTCAGTGTATTGATTTCCATGGAGGGCGCCTTGAGGGATTACGTTGGTATTCATTGCAAAGTTTGTTACTACTTTCACTCACAGGCACAGTCCCACTATAGATAGAATAGCTGCGTTACAGTTAAAGCGCCATAGTCGCCACTCGCCACGTCACGTTCCGATCGGGCCAACGCGACGTGCGCGACGCGTGTAAAATACATCGATTACATGGATTTCAACGCGCCCGGGGACTATGCGTCGACTGTGGCGTTTTGTGACCGTTTTGTGGGGAACAATGAATAGGAATCGAACCACTAAAGCGTCATTTAATAAACTTAAGGAATAAATAGAAATACGCGGAAATGTTAGTTCTCTAGGGTACGCAACGTACGATTGATTCTCTGGGCGCCATTTTTCAATGCAACTAGCATAGGAATGCCGCTTGCTTGGACAAGTGGGCAGAAAAGATTATCTTTTTTATTGTTGAGTTGCAGCCGACAACAGAAATTGAACCTGTAATATCTCTCCCTGTGGATGAGCACGATAGCTTCTGCCACGAATATTTTTTATGATAGATTTCCATATTTATACAGTATGTGACGTCATTGTAAAATAGTATAATGTGAGCGAACTGAATCTATCGCTTCAAATATTTATTAGCGAACGTCTGGATCGTCTGTGTGTCCGTGTGTGTCCGGACTACAGCGATACGCGCGCGTATAATTAGTTGTTCATCATACTCTTTACTATGTGCAGCATTCGGGGTTGTTGACGTACATCAATAATAACATTGCGCGAAATTGGACGATTTAGGGTCGATTATATATGCTTGATAGAGCGTTTGGTTTCTCTTGCATCAACTCCAATATTCATTATTCCAAAGTGTTCGTTATCGTCACAAGCGCTGATGTTCGCGGAGCTATCCAGCTATCTCATAGACTACTATATTTTTGTCACGTAAACCCAGTTTTATCGTTGACGAATCCTTTGCAATCACAATCTTATCTGAACGCCCCCAGAGGCTCTCTTAGATGAGTCCCCAGTGATACAATTATACAGCATTTTAAACTCAGTTTTGTTCATCGCGGGGGTGTGAAAACTATGGTCACCATTCGGACCTGAGGCGATACATAGAATTGATATTCCTTGTAATTATCTTGATGTCTCGCCTCCCCCTGGAGTGTTGTTACTTGTCGCCAATCGACCGCCCCATTGCAGTGTCATGACCAATTATATTACAGGCTGGCGTAGTATGACACAGAGACTACGAGTATACAATTATAACCACACAAGGCGCTCGTACTTTATGGCTGGGTCATTAGAATTTTCTGAAAATTCGACATTTGTCAAATTTTATTGATACTCAAACTTGGAAAAGAGACTCAAACGCGACCACTTGTTAATTTATATATTACATAAATGATAAAATATGGACAGCTTGACGATGACGTAATAGCAATTGTGAACTAAATAACCTAGCTCTGATTCATCGGTAACTTTACTTACTCTGCCATTCTTAAGCTTTCTATACGCGACCAAGCGCATTTTTTCGCCGTGGTTGAATTACAAATAAAAATATAATCTTACCCAGGTCGTTGAATGAGATTACATAAATTCTACAAATTACACAAAAAGCCCGTGGAATTAGCTCCCAATATTCACCTCGCGCGGGATTATCGCAAGATAAATAATCCGCGTGAACGACTAGGCGCGATAGTTTGCAATTTTAAGGGATGTGTTAAATTTTAATCGCGTAGCCAAATGCAAACATCGTAGAAGCAAATGTGTACATAAACATGTCGCAATGTACACGTGAGTGACAGACAAGTATATTTCACTAAATGTTTACTATAATATTCCATTCTCGGCAAATATACCGTGGCAAAACATGCAACTTGTTTTAGGAGATCAGATTCGTCACACAACTCCTCCCACTGCAAGAAGTTCAGTCAAGTTCAACCGCTGACTTACTGCTAATACAGCTACATTAACTGTGCCTCATTTTGCTGATGAGTTTGTTTTTCAGACAGGATAGACATAATACAACTAATTGCGTACATTTACGAGAAAATCTACCTTTTACGTGATTGAGAAAAAAATTGGCCATAAAACACACTGAAGCGTGCATCCGTATCGTTTTATCACCTATTTCCATTAGGGTTCTATCCCTCTCAATATCCTGACCTTTTCAAACTTAACTTCAATTGAAGGCAGCTTGTTGATACTTGAATTATTGATTGCTTTATTTATTTTATTCATGAGATACGTAAGTTACGATGAGTGACTGATTTTACACGGAATCTGTTTATAGAAATACTTACAATATAAATGCATATGTAGTGACGTAACGCACAGTCAGATGGGAGAATGTTTTAATTCATACTGCGATTGAAATATGAGATTGAAATAGAAAAGATATCAAAACATTCAAAAATGTCGTCAACAAAACAGAAACAGTTTGTAAATCGGAATCAATATGGAAGTTGTTTCTCAATATCTGGATACACCACAAGATATGCTCGACATTTCAATTCACGTGACCAGAACGCTATTCCTCTATTGGTTACCTCATCATTATCACCTATCTGACAAACCAACCAAAAATACCTTCCTTGTTTGCTGCACATATTGAAACGAAGGAAACATAGTCTGTGACCACATGTAATAAATCACGTTTTACTGAACCTGTGTAAGTCTAGTACTCCCAAATGTAGAATAAAATGAACTAAGTATATGACGTCACACCGACCTCTATGTTTCAGTGATGTCATCGCCTCACTGTCAGCAACATTAATTGTTATTTGTAAATATAACATACACCAAGCGACAATGTGTTGCAGGATACCCGGGAGAAAGTATTTAGATATTTGATTCACCCCTCCCTCCACCTGGACCGCTATTCCAAGCATTTATCCACAAAAAAACAACATATCAATCGATTCGTCACTAAGCCGATCTATAAAACTCGGATCAGTATAACATGCCATATTTGCTTTATCAGATGATGATCTAGAGACAGTTGTAACCATCCCGTAAATGACGTAGTCGTGTTTAATCAATATCATACCTAGTCTCATCTACATACCAAATGAGACTGCGATCATCGGGGATGATAGCACTCCAGTACCGAGAAAGAAAAGAAAAAGACGACCACAGCCTAATGTGTGGTGGGATACACAGCCATGCAAGGGCATAACACCCCTTCCTGCTGCTGTCATCGAACATAAAATATCGTTTTTAACATCCTTATGGAGAGAGAACAAACAGTTCCCCCACTTGAGTAGTACAAACATACTGCAGTGTCAATATCACCGATGAATTGTTTATACGAGAAAGAAATTATTCATGGCTGCGAGAATTCTACCTGAAATGCCAAATACAAATTTCATAATGGTATGCAAATTGTGATTGATGTACGTGTCACTTCATATTGTATTCGATAAAAACATAATTTCTGGGGTCGGGCGGTATACAACCTTAAATAATAAAAAGTATTAGCAATAAAATGAAGGGGGTTCCAAAGATGCGCCGATGAATAATTAAACGAGTTCTGATTTTATGGAGCTTAAAAGTTGCCTATACG